CAAAATACTTTGATGACATTTATGGCGTTAAACGGGCAGTCTTCAGTTTTCTCCGAACTAATTTGGCGTTACCAGCCAACTAGTACTTTAAGGTCTTCCAGTTGTAGTTACTTTTCGGTTACCAACTGTTCTACCAATGCAAATCATGTGGGGATAGATCTTTTACTGTCGCCTCTGCCAAGTTATGGGACTCGCTAAGTCACAACTAATAAAACCTACCTTTTCAATTTGTGATTTCCCTTTTCCTTTGTATTCATGCAGTTTATAAGTTGTTGTTAATTTGTTATCTCAGATAATTTTTTCTTTTGTTTTTGGGCATGGTAATGCATGCTAATGAAGTTGAAACAAAAGAAAAATAAAAATTACCTGAGATAAAAAATTTTAATTGCAACATATATATACCTCACTATTATTCCTGCAACTGCCTATTATTATGCACCTATCAATGTAAAGCCGGCGGGAGGGAGGGGGGAAGCGGGGCATGGGGTGGGGATTTGACATTTTTCAAACATTTGCCGTCAAATTCCCTGCCCACGGGCAAATCATTCCAGTCAAATGCAACCAAATCTCTCCACCCCGGGCAGCACAGTGCTACCAAATATCCCAAGGCAGAACCCAAGAAAGGCACAATGAATTATCTCCAAATAAAACTCTGAAATTTTTATTTATAAACGTTGCTGCATCACCAAACATACATGTTCCTGTTACAGCTGCAATTATACGTTTTAACCGTAATCCGTGTTACACTGCGTAGAATACAGAAACCTTTCATGAGAAAGCCCACATTTTGAAAGTTAAAATATACCATTCTCAGTAAATTAAGAGTACAAAGAAAGTCAGTTTTACAAGCTTTATATAGTGATTGTAGCGAGTGAGCCATACACTGATCAATTGTACTTGCAAGAATCGACTTTGTTTCACTTTACTTCCGTTTACTTTGATACCACAGTATCTTGAGAGGTTCAATTGATCAAAACACGCTAAAGCAAAGGAAATTTGGAGACAAAACAGTGAAATCCACTCAGCTTTCGCTTGTTTCCGTTGGCGGCCTCCATGATTTCCAGATCTTTCCAGACCGTGCGGCGCATGCGTGAAGCATGGAAGAGGGAAACATATGTTCGGTCTCAGTCTTTTTCGTCCGAGTCGGCAGTCAAATATCTCCACGTCGAGCGAAGAAAGATTCAAATATCCCCTCCCCTGGGAGAACAAGATCAGTCAAATGCCCTACCTCCAGGGCCAACAAAGACAATCAAATCCCCACCCCATGCCCTGCCTCCCCCCCCCCACCGGCATGACATTGATAGGTGCATTAGTTTTATAGTATCCGAATCATATACTGATCACAGCAGTATTTAGCAGTGCTACATTTTTATAAAGTTTTCTCCATATAGAATTCCTATGTATCAAAAATTTTCTTTTTTTTCTGTTTTGATATATATACCTTTATAAATTTATATAGGTATTTTTACATTTTTCTTAATGTTACTGTAAGAGCATTGAGACTTTTTATAATGTTCTAAATATATTATTATTATTATTATTATTATTATTATTAATATCAATTATCATTGTTATTGTCATCAATTATTATTGTTACTATTAATTTGAGGTGTTTCATCATCTGACTCGCTCAATACTTTCTTCACACATGACAAAGCGGCTTGATCTTTTCTTCTGCTATTTCGCACGAAAGGGGGGTTACGCAAAAGCAGAGCTAGTCGAGTAAGACAAGAAACATCTGACCAAATAAACTATCACCGACTAACTTAACGGTGCCAAAGGAGAAAGAAAACTCTCATGGACTATCATGAAAAATCTGAAAATGTTGAAACGGCGTTACAGTTGACAGTAGATGACAGTTGAAACTAGCTTCGACCATGATCATGCAGTAAAAACCTGCGAGTAAGAACCTCGTTTTTAAGGATCTGTTAGGCTAAAATTTGCCAGTTTTACCCCCCCCCCCCACCTCCAATAAAACGTCAAATTCTTGAATTTGTTAGTTTCCAGTCCTTTTGAGACATGGCCATATAATAATCAGGAATATAGGAAAGATTTTCCCACACAAAATTGTGATTTTGTAGATGCAGATGCTCAAAGGAACATTAAACAGGTAGGATTTTTTCCGCTATTACGTGACATTATGGGGCAAACAACCTTCATTTACTTCACATACATATTTGTACAATAGCGCCTGGCCCGCAAAGTAGCCGCAACACTAATCGAGGCGGGTCAGGCACAGATAAAATGTTAATTTATATTATTTACAAACAGTATATACTAAAGTTAACAGAGGGTTGGAAAAGGGAAAAAGAGGAAAGAAAAAATATTATAATTTTATATTAAACGAAATGCGATATATCGCAGACTTCAAAGCTGTTTAAATCTAGAGGTAATAGTAAGCGTGTCAGCAGAATCATCCTCAAACAATAGAATATCTAAAAGTTGTCGATGAATTGCCGCCTTAAATTTATGTTTTGATAATGAACGAATTTTAAGAGGGATACAATTCCACGCCTTAGCACCAGAGCAAGGAAAGGACTTAATCTTCTGCTGTGTTCTCGAATTTTGTATGACAAAAGTGTCAGCCTGAGAAAATCTAGTGTTATAATGATGTGCATCACACATCTGGCGCGCGATTTAGGGGTAATGTAAATGAAGTAAGATTTTGTGACGCCTCACACATCACACAGCACTGGACATGCGCAATTCATGATACCATACGACCGCGACCTGATAGACGCCAGCCGCACAACAATTTTTGTTTCTCGCCGGCTCTGCATTATTTGCTTTTCTGACGTTTGAATCAAATGACGCATTTGACTATTTAAGGTGGCTCCGTAATTAATACTAGAGCATTTTACTGTGACAAATTTTCCGTCATAACTTTTTGGTTTTTAACGCGATGGCTGCGAAACTTTGCAAAGAACAACAGATATCATTCGGCAATAATAAGAAATATTCCGATAGGCAATCGGCTTCTGTTTTCAGAATTAGCAAACGTTGAATTTACTTGTCCCGAAAATTGAAACTGGTGTCTCCTTCTTCCTGATAGTAATTTATTTTCGAAATTCCAAAACAATTTCACAGCTGAATTTTGAGCGAGTTTCAGTTACGGACTTCTGCTCCAACGATTTTTCTGAAATTCCTCTGGCATATTTATTATATCAATTAAAGCCGATACCAGAAATTTCAGTAAAAATATCAGCAAAATTTTTTACTAGACGCGATTTTCTTTGAACAGTAGGGTCCTTTTAAGCGCTAATTTCTCAAGAAATATTTACCATCAATGAAATCGGAATATTTCGTATTATTGCCGAATGATATCTGTTGTTTTTTGTAAATTTTCGCAGCCATCGCGTTAAAATCGAAAAAGTTATGACAGAAAATTTGTCACAGCTAAATGCTCTTGTATTAATTACGGAGCCACCTTAAGTCGACTAAAATAGGAATTAAGTTCGGCCATGTGAAATTCGACGTTTGAACCGGGCCTAATTTTGGTTCTCTTAACATTTTGCGACCTCAGAAGGATATAGAGCACAGTATTGGAATCAGAAACAAAACCACGGCCCGTGAGTAACTGGTGAAAATAATCTCAGGGATATTCAAACAAATGCAAATATGCGCAAAAACGACCACCTGCTCCGATCGCCAATTTTCGGAACATATTTTGTAAAATTTCTTGCTTGCCTGCCTCTCCTAGGATTTTCGAACATCTAAAAAATAGTATAATTGCCCATTTTTAACGGATTTTTACCCTAAAAAGGTCACCTAGAATTTTCGGGATCCTTTTTTCTGGCTGAAATTTTCGAAAAGGTAAGTTTGGATCACTAAAATTTTCGGATCATTAGACGTTCGGCTAGGAAACCCGAACAGATGAAAAATTTTTAGGGGATATAAATATGCCTATATCTACCGTTTAAATACTAGAATACGTTTAACAATGCTATGTTTAAGTGGTTTTGAACTATTTTTTCGTTGGATGCCCCTGTATTATGGTTCCTAACTGCTACAACTTGAGTTTCGTGGGGTTGCTGTCAGCTATCTCAGCTATTTGATACAACCTGCGTCTTACCAACAGAAATCAAACAAAGAAAGGCGAGAGCGAACAGGATGTTCGTACTCGTGACTCTCACTGCACTCACAGTAATTGCTTCAACTCTTCCTCCTTCCTTTTGATATAAACAGAACTCTATATATTAAACTGGACTTTAAGTGTTAAGCGGCCACGACACGAACGCGGAAACTACTGAAAGGGCGGCGTCATTCCTCTCCCCAGACTTCCGCTCGCCGATCTTTTTCGCCTTTTCCCTCAATGCGGAGCCTGGGCCCAGGTTAATCCTAAAACAGCCGCTCTTTGGGTCGTCACGCAATGCTGAGACCTCCCCACCCACTAGCTGTTGTAGCTGGGGCTTTTGCTGGGGAAGGGCAATGGCGAGAATAATGAAAAGAGGTAAAGCGTATAACGCGGCCTCAACTTTGCTGTGAACAATATTTCTGTAGTTGTAATTGTCAAAGTTACAGACAAGTATGTTCTAACGATGAAGAAAGCTTCGCCTTCCTTGCACGTTAGTCACCCTAGGAACCGTAAATAGGCCATATTCACACTATGCCGAATAGCTCTTCCTGTCGACACGGAAAGCTATCCATTACAGTGTGTACACCTATCCGATATGTGACTCTCCACTTTGGAGATCGTCACGGCGCGGCTTCGCTCCGTTAAAGAATTTGCGACGACTGGGGAAATCATCGTTCTTATGTGTGAACAGAGCCGCTATCGGTATGGTTTTTATGCCGGCGCAAAATCTATACCGTATAGTGTAAACATAACCTCAATGAAATGAGCTTTTCAATGTTTCATACTTTGAAAAGTGACGACATTCTAGATATAGAAGAGATCATCTTTTTGTGGTACGTTCTCCGTCAGTTCTAATTGGAGAACATGGTTCTACAAGTTCTAAAGCCAAACCAGAGTCACTAACAAAGTTGCGAGTTTGCTCAAATTAATTTTCATCACCCTTATGGTGGCCGTGAACATGTTTGCTATTGATATCATTATCTTTGTCGTTTTCATCACCATTAAGATCACCATCATCATCGTCAGTATCATCGTCATTATCGTGGTCGTCATCATCATCATCATCATCATCATTATCCTGATAAAGTTTCCTCAAACCAGCTTTCAGAGTAGAATCCCGATTATTTGTTGTTTGAAAGAGTATCTGGTAGAAAGCTAGTTGTTGGGAATGAAGCGCATTGTCAGGAACGTGGCGTGCTAGTTTTCGGGTGCGCAGATTAATGTTGTACAGTTAATGAAAGTACATTTATAGATGTCTGAAAGAATAAACTTTTTTGAGCTGTGAATGAGCCTCCCTTTGCTTTGTTTCGGAATGATAGTTCGCGCGAGGCATGGAAAGCCCACCTGTACAGTCAACGGTCTCGCAAAGGGTACCTTCCCTGAGACAGATATATGGCGTTAGTTCCTGTCGTGTTTCATTCAGTTTCTTTAACTCTCTACGAGATGGATACCTCCCTCCTCCCCAAGCGGTTTCCTTTTTGGAGAGGGTTAACCGTATTACAATTAGCGTGGGTTGCTACTGAAATGTTACATGTACCTTATTTACCCGTAAGAACCCCGTCCTCGAATAAGTGGCGCATCTTTCCACTTATTTTGCTTGCCATTGATGGAAAAGTATTTTCTTGGGTGTGCAAAGTAGTGCTAAAAACAGACATTATCCCTTAAACACGTTGGGATTTTTTTTTTTTTTGACGAGTCCATTGCTGCAGGCGCCACAAGAAGACCTGTTTCGTAGAAGCTTTCGACCCGTCTATTTAGGTGGTAAATACATTCACACCATTTTCATAAAAAATTCAGCAATGATGGAATATAACAGTATGTAAATTTGTATACAGTTTTGCCTGATTGATTACCATGAAAACCAGGGAAAAGGGGGGTGGGGTATGTGCCTGGAAAAATGCACTCCCGTCAAGGAGTCCGCCCCATTCAAACACCTGCAGATTGGAAATTGCCCACTTTACCTAATTAGACAGCGGATGCTTCCTATTCTCCAGCCCTACCTCTCCCTTCTTAATTTCAGAGTGAAATGTCCATTTCAATAGTCACAATGGTTCCCCTCCCCTACAGTTTGCTTATTATTCCTAACGAATTCAATAAAATAGTAGTCATCCATTTAAGAATTCCAAAATCAAAGAATAAGTGAAAGATGCCTTCAGATGTGAAATAAGCCCCCCCCCCTCCCCCCCCCACCCCCTCAAAAATGGCTGGAACAAATAACCCCCAGCGGCTTATTGGAGAGATTTAAATACGCCCTACGGTGTTTAAATGCAGCAACAAACAGTTGACCAACCAAATATTTTGTTCCATTACCTAATCGATGCAGCGTCGAGCACCCGTTTTTGTTTAAACTAACCACTTTATGGGAATGAAACTCTACTGTTCAGAACACAACAAATTAAGCTTTGCAATACTCGAAAGCACGTGTGACTTAGGAAATTAACCGACACCGATTAATGTTTTGTATTTACGTATTTCATACATTTAAGGGGGAAAGCAATATGCAGCTAATGAAAGATCTTACCTTTTCTGCATTTTATATAGAAATTTGCGGCGCCGACTTTATAACCACATCGATGTAAAATATAATTTGTAACGTTTTCTTAGTTTCACAAGAGTATGTAAATTAGGTTGCATAATACTGCTGAAGTATTTAAGGCGTGCGCGTAAGGTGTCTCAAGGGGCTGGTACACTATTTAAGGTTTGTTAAGTTATGCAAGAGCCATTCGAAGCATCTCTTTCAACCCTAAATTTTTTATTTTATTTACTGCTCTAATTTCCCTGAGTTTGCAAAATTGTAACGCTGTGTTTTTGTAACGCTTTACACTGGCTTTATCAATAAACGAGATGCCCGCTCCTATTCTGTTTTTTTTGTGATTATTTAGATTAGTTACAAAATATTTTACAATCGTTTCAGTGTGATTATAATATAAAACATCTTTACCTTTCAAAAGTGTTTAAAAACATCACCAAACCCCGCTTTTTTCTTTTCCACCGCGACTGACTGACTTTATAGCACTTGGGCCGGACTTGGGCCGTGAAAATCACTTCCGCTGTCCACGCAGGGGTTTTTAGGGGAGTCGTATTTCTTCCCTCCTCCCCTAAAAACGCTGGTTTAGAAAGGGTCTTCATGAAATTTTCAAGACAGCTCTTTTTAAATTTCACAAGAAACACGTAAACAGGAATACTTCATGAAAATTAAACACGTTTAAAATTTTATAATTTAAAATGCTATGCTAAAAATTGCTTCTACATGATATGGTTTCCTTCGTCAAAACTCACTTTGGTAAAACAAGACTTAATACATAAAATTAAGATAATGTTTACTTGTACGTTACAACAGAACTATAAAACGACTTCTCGCCCTAACCCAAAGAGCTATTAAAAACTCAAAACTTCACAATTTGCACTTTCTGAACAAAAAAAAAACGCTGAAAGGGCGCATGCCAGGAGCAGAATCGCGCTGGCCAGTGGTACTCTGGCTCGATTGCACAGGTTACCCTCGCAGCAGTTCACTTTACACTTCTTGATTGTAGCTCCTTTTGGAGCCAATGCCTTGCAGAGCTCCTCGTTGCCACAGGCTGATTTTGCGCTACATTTTCTGGCATAACGTTCTTCTGACATCGCCAGGTCTCCCGATTTTGAATGGTAATGAATATTGGCGCAGGTTTCCTTACCAGAATCACAGGCCACCTTTTTCTGGATAGAGGCACAGTCATCCCAACTCTTAGTTGACACACAGTGGTAGCACTGGAGTCCGTGTTCTGTGATAAGAAAAAGAGTAAAACCATTGTTCCTCCTGTGGTCTTTATATGAGTCGTCAAGTAGCTTTCGTTCCCCCTGAGTTGGCCCATTCGGCCTTTGGCTTCATGGGCTATCGACTCAGAGCCAATTCGCGCTCAAGGAAAAAACATTCACGACGCTACGCGGTGAATATAAAGCAAAACAATCTCGCCGTCGTAAACTGGGTGTTTTGCCAAAGTTTCAGAGTAAGAACTTTTTGAAAACAAGGGAATATCCTAGTGTTGATAATTCTGAAGGTAAGAAAAGACTTCATGGTGATTGAACAGCGTGATTTATTGTGAAGCGGTTTACTGTAGTTTACGTTTTATACGCTCGAAGCAATATTTACCACTACACAGCCAAATTGCGGAGGCTGCTTTGTCACCGTTTTGTGAGAGACTGCTGCCCTCTAACCAATTGAGCTCGAAAGCCTACTTGGAGTTGGTTGTTACATTGGTTCGTAATAGGCAGTCGGCAAAACGTAAGAGGGACCATTTAGGGAAAAAATGTCTCAATCAATTTTGTCACCGATTGTAGCATTTTCTTCTGAGAGTGAAGTCCGATACTTACTTGTTGTTGAAGGGAGAGGTCGTCCTTCCGTGACGTCACTGGCGGGGCTCTCTGATCTTGAATTGACGTTATTATTGTCTGGATAATCATTTCTGCCAACAGTTTTAAACTCGTAAAGCTCATTATTTAAGCCTTCGATCTCGATGCTCTGCGTTTCAAAATGGTTCACCCAGCTGGTATTTTGAAAAGCTTCTCCCTCCACTACAAAATAAATTAATAATACAGAATTTTAGATAATTACTTAACTGAGAGAGACGTTTCATTTCTTCCTCTTCTTCTCACTCGTGCAATTTCATGACAACATATACGAATTTTTAAATGGCCCTCACCCCTCCAACAACAAATTGGTTTGTTCGTTTAACCCTAGTAATACCGGGGCGAGGTGGCGGGGTTTAGCCTCAACCCCAGCCAAACCCCCCCACACACACACACACACACACACACAGACACTAAAAAGTTGAATAACTTCCAAACTGTTCAGCAGTGACCGCCAAAGTAAGCGAATTTTTCTACAAATTAACTGGGAACGTCAAACTCGACGTCACCATATTTTACTTATTGAATTATTATGTAATACATAATTTAGCAACTCAGCGTCCGTCCTACAGAGGTGCCAGCCTTATGGAAAGCCAAAGACAACGGTTGAAGAAAAAGGTGTCCGTCATAGTCGATAGAAGTTGTCTGTAAAAGAGCGTCGACTTTGCCAGTAACGTGTGACCCTCTCACTCCCAAAGTGGCAAAAATTCCAAAGTTAATTTATTTGAACAATGTGAAAAAAAAGAGAGAAAAGAAAAAAGAAAAGAAATAAAAAAATTAAAAGAAATGAATAGTACAAAGTGAAAGTACTATCATAGAGGTTTCATTTGAATTGTCACACCATAGAATTTTGTCTTCAGACTCAAAAGATAGAACGATATACTCAAATGTTAGAACCATCTAACAGGTCTAAGTCATTTACTCTGGCCGGGTGTGTAGGGGTTAACGAGCTTTCATTTATTAACATCTTTAAAAATGCTTACATTTCCTTCGATACATGACCAAGAACTCGTGCGTGTAGCCTCCACCCAGGCCAAATTTGTAAGTAACTCTTACTTTATCCACAGCTTTTCCCTCCGCGGTGGGTCTTGCTGGTTTGGCGGGAGCTGAGAAAAATAATCATTTTACAGGCATCTACATATAACTTAACGGAATTCATAACAAGCTGAAAGATCCTCTACAGTCCACTTGTGGCTATTAGTGTTAACATACACGCAGGCGCGAGGATTGCACGCGCTCTAGAATAGAAGGGCGCATTATTAGTGGGAACAGGGAGAAATTGTGAGCTTGTTGCGCCTCGCATTAGCAAATTTCGCGGATCGTCGTCGTGAAATGAAGGCAAAGAAAAGCACCTCAAAGTGCAATGTAGTTTTACCGGGGATTTAACTACTGTCCCCATTATCAAGGTATCCATAATAGGGGTGATGACTCAAAGAATGCATGCCCCGTCTGGATGTCTGGGACCAGTGGACTTTCCTTCCGGGCAGGAAAGATTTCATACTCACTTGCTCGATGGTAAAGGGGCCAGGCAAGTTTGATTGTAACTAAAACATAATTAAGACAAGCCTACAACTGACATGGAGTAAAAATTCATGGGCTTTTTAAGCCCTCAGCGAGATCATGGCAATGAGAGAGCTGACTCCAGAACTAATCACTAAAATATTGAAAAATTACTTACGAGCATATGCCACAGTTCGAGTTGTATTTCTGACTTTATCTCCCCACCCTTTGCTTGTCTGTGCTTGTATTTCTACAACATGATTTCTCTCCGGCGTCTGATTGTCCAGCAGCTTCCTAAAAACACCTGGTCCGAATTCCTGCCAGGATACCTGAAGATCGTCGCTTGGCTGCGAACCTTCGTACTGCGCAGACCTCACTCGGTATTTTGTAATAACACCGTTCGGTTCCACAGGATCTTTCCATCTAACCATGATATATTTTGCGAAGGCATAGACGTTGACTTGTGATGGTGGACCAGGTTCTAAAAGGAGGAATAAGAAATGACAATTTAATTGACTTTGGAAAGAGCGAACCTTTTCTCCGGACTTGACACGTATCGTGGTAGTGAATCTTGCATGCCTAAACCCTTTCAATGCCAATAGTGACAAAGGTAAAATTGAAAAAAAAAAAAAATCTGATGGCCCAATCATCCGATCGTCCCAAATGGCGTCATGCCGATTGATACTGTCTCCTCTTTCCAAGACCTGCACGGTGGGTCTGGCACGAAGTGACCGCCTTATGGAGTCAACGAAAAGACAAAAGAAAGACAGTGACTTTCTCAATGTATTCATTTTAGTAGGGGGCAGTCCGTCTCATTAAGAACTCTGTTAAGAAAGAGGGGATTTTGTACTCCATAACACAACTTACCAGCTTCATCAGTCGTAGCAAAGGCTTCGTCACTGGCCGGTCCTTCGCCGCCCTCGTTGTAAGCCGTGATAGAGAAGTTGTAGTTAGTGTAAGGCGTAAGTTTCGTTACAGTATGTGACTTCTTGCTGCCTCCTGAGACATTAACAAACATCGCATCACCAGGAATTTCTCGTCGACGTCTTTCGCTCACGCGACTTTCACCCGAGTAATAAATCTGCAAATGAAAATGGACTACTGCAAACAACTGTTCTTGACACCAATTCTTGGATGTGACTCGACCGATGCCTTTGTTTGACTCGATCAATATCCACACTACAAAAAACTTTACCAAAACCTACTTCCAAGCTTAAACTAAACAAATTAAAAAAAAAAAAAAAAAGCGAATACACGCCGCACTCAGGGTTTCTTCTCTTTCCCTCTTGCTCCAGGCAAAGGGAAAAGAGAGGTCTTGGAAGAGGCTGCTCTCACCTTATAACCATCCACACTTCCTCGAGTAACGGTGACAGGAACCCACGTCAAATTAACAGTGCGTGCCGTTGCAGCTCCAGTTTGTACATTTCCCGGCTTTCCTTTGGGCCGGTCTTGACCCGAATGTGATTGTACTACAGGACTCTCAGGTCCCAACCCCTCGTCATTCCCAGCTTGAATCTGAAATTCCCACAGCTTATAAATGCCGGGATTTGGTATCGCAAAAGCGACAACAGCGGGATCAGTGATTCTCTCCGGGTCTCCAAATGTCCCATCCGGCACCTCTCTGTACTTCAGCAAGTAGTAAAGGCCGGGAGCATTCCAATCCACTTTAGGCATTGCCTACCAAGAAAAACAGCAAAATCGTTACGTTTTGCAAGTAGAACCTCTGCTCATAAGCCCCTCCGAATATAAGCTAAATAACTAAATAATCCCTAATCAACACTTTAAGAAACAAGCCCTGACATGAGTTGTCACTAGTTTGATTTCTCTTGCTATGATATCCTATAAATTGGTGTTTCCTTAGTGTTGCAGGCACTACTTTTAATCATTATTGGTTAGATCTTCTTTGTCCGAGGTGCAGCGTAAGTCTACTAATGGCGGTTTTTTTTTCCTTTAAATAGCAGCCACGAGGACAAACTGTTGAAATATCAAAAGGAGCTTAACTGTCACGACCTCTTCGATTGGCGCATGAACCACAATATCTTAAAAGAAAGTTAGAACAACAAGGGTTTAAAGGTTTAAACCTAAGGCTAAGTCTACTTACAGTCCAAACAATATCGAGTTTCTCCGTTCCCTTGGCATTTCCACGGAAATGGTCTGGATATTTATCCGGAGCTGTTAAAAGTACAAAGATTTTAAGTCACCTCTCTTCCAAGAATGCTTTAAAATCGAACTCAATATCAAGAAACAACCCAACAAGTTCTGCAGTGACTTTGAATGACTTACACAACACGTAATTTCACCTAGCGACTCAAAAGTCAGCATTTTTTTTACTGCGGAAGACCAAAATCAATGTGATACAGTGGCGGATTCAGGGGAGGGCCCTGGAGGGCCCAGTTCCCCGCTTATTTTTAGACCAAACTGAGGCCCGAATGGCCGAAAACATTTTTTTTTTGAGACCACCCCCTCTTATCTCAGGGTGTGGATGACCGCCCCCCCCCTTATCTGAAGGTCTGGATCCGCCACTGCGGCATTTAACTTTCTTTTGCCCGGGGGAGGGGAATATCACTGATCTTCACATTTCGCTTACACACGTGATCGTTGAAAAGCCAAAAGTATACTCACGTCCAACATCCGTTCGACAAAATTTAGACGTGGCTACACTTGGGCGGCTGGGTCCAAAGCGGTTGACAGCTCTCAAACGGAAGCGAAGGGTCGCCCATCCGGTCAGATTAAAGGTAAAGGACGTCGCATTAGGGTTTGTGACATTTTCAATGCTATAAAACACGTTGGGCTCATATGAAGATTCCTGCTCAATAATAAACTTCGTAATGGACGCATCTTTTGCTGCTCCATTAACCCAGGAAAGCGTTGTAGTGCGGTTGAAGCAATTTGTTATGGCAAGATTTGTTGGCGGATGAGGAGGAGCACCTATAAAAATCAGATTTAAACGAAAAAAAAAAATGGTTAGTGTGAGAAAGCCGTCTTTTTTTTCAAAACTGGTCTTTACACTAGATGGTAAGTAATTATGCCCTGTTCACACATCAGCACAACATACTGTAAATTCTGACTCCACTAACACAAGATATTCATTGTGAAAACTTTTATTTAGGATGCGTCTGTCAGTCATCTGATGCAAATGTTAAATCAATGATATCCTTCTAGCAAAATACTAATATATGTTTTAAGCTAGAACTTGTACTACGCTACTAAAAACTACCATTGAGGTCGAAGTGGCCAAAAAAAATGAGTGGAAACGTATTACCCTACTAATGCGGTGGCACGTAAAACCCTGGGGAAAAGGATCAAGGAAAATACATTACAATGTTACGTAGACTACTCCAAAATTATACTAATGGAAAAGGGTGCGGGTCTAAATACCTAATTCATAAACTATACACCGAAATAAGAAACGTTATTCCAAAACATACAGATCTGAAGACGTAACAAATTAAAATATTAATAGAAACGGAAAACTTGCAAAACAAACGAAAACTATCAGAAGGACTGGTACAAGTCTCGCGCCAAAACCACAAATAGCCCGACACTATCCCAGGAACACCAGCGCGCCTCTATACCGTGCCCTCAGAATATTAATTTCTGACTAAGTCGTTCCCATGTCTCTCAATCGTGAGAAATTACATTTACTGTGAACAACTTAGTATCAAAGTTGCATTTTTATTGGAACTAAAATCCAAATTCAATTTCTTAAGTCCAAAAACCGATGTCAGTAAGTTCTGTTTAATACCTGAGACATCAATAGTAGCAGATGCTTGATCTTCAGATCTTATTGGACCAGAAGTGTAGGCCACACAAGTATAATTACCAGCTTCATCAACTGTAATGTTAGCAATTGTCAGAACCTTAGCTCCTTCAAGCCACTGAGTTTTGTTGTTGTACGTTATGACAGCATTATCCTTTTTCCAGTAGTATCTTAACTCAAGAGACGGGTCAGCGGTTGCCTCGCATCTCAGATCAACACGAGTTCCCTTGTCAACGCTTTGATCACGTGGTTGAACGACAATTATTGTTCTCTCTGAAAAACAAAATCATCAACAGTATTAATTTTACCAAATCAGAGGATACCAATTTCCGCGCGTTTTGATTAACTCCCATAACTGCCTGGCTGTTAGGAAGCTTAAACAACCACGACGACGACGGTTAGCGAAAAGGTCACCAAGAAGTGAATTAGCGTTCTTTTAAACCCTGCCTCGGTGAGTTTGTCAAATGCAGGCAAGTTTTCAAGGATTCAAGTTCTAAAAGACTCTATCCAATTTCAAAAGAAAAAGGTCAATTTATTACCATGTATTGACGTTCCTAAAAAAACGCTGTACAAGGAAGTTTTACGACGGAGTCGTGCAATAGACGGCAGAGAAATGTACCAAAGGAAAGCTTAAGATGGAGCCCATCAGGAAATTGAGTAATTTTAATTTTCAGTCGAGGTTCACAAAATGACATCTTACACATGAAATTTTCAGAATTTTACCTGTGTTTTCACAATTCTTGTGAACTTTGACATTCATTTTCTCAGGCTCCCTTGAGAAATTTTCTATGGTGTTATTACAGATAACTAATGATATCTATAGCCCTTGAAAAAAAAAATTAAAAAATCCGATATTGTTTAAATTATTCTGGTACAAGGTTTTTGTCTACTGAAGATTGAAATTACTCAATTTTCCTAATGTATTCCGTCTTTATACACTTGCTCAGATAGCCAATTGCGTTTTTTACGTTGTCCTTGCCGTCGTCACTGCTTAAGCTCCCTCTAGGGAAACTTACGCCCGTCCACACGCATCCGGGTATTTTTGAAACCGCAACCTTTTTTTATTCGAATCGGCCTTCTGTCCACAAGAAACCAGTGAATCCGCTGAACGGAACCGCATCTTTTTGAAACCGCCCTCCAGAGTGTGTGTGTGTGTGTGTCTGGTTTTTTTTTTTAGTCCAACGGTTTTGCGAATTTTTAATTTTGTAGACGAGATAGTCATCTTTTGTTTACTGATTTGCCGTAATGCACTAAGCATTGCACTATACCAAAAAAGAGTTGGACCTGCTCGAAAGTTTAGAGTCATACTCGTGTTGGACTAGCCTGCCTAGCCTGATGAAACTGAACCAGCCGGGTTAGAGTACGTCTGCGATGCAGTCTAGTACTGGACATTGACTCCGAGCCATATCTAAAGCTCGCTTATTTAAGAGACATACGTGCATGGTATTCTCACCAAAAACCGTAGCTGTTGCATTTTCCGTCGCGTTACCCAAGACGTTCTCTGCATAACATTTATAAAGACCCTCGTCTCGATTCTTGTCAACATTGTCAATTATCAATGTACTGTATTCCCCATGCTCTATTCTGTAGGGTGGTGATGATGTCAGTAGAGTGGTTCCTTTATACCATTTATATTGGTCTTTACTTGGCCGTGGAGCTGCTTTTGGATTACACGTCAACCGCCCTGCAGTGCCTTTGAACAAGTAGAATGGACCAAGTCCGGACTCCGCAAAAGATGGTTTTATGGCTGCAAAAAGAAAAATTCGCGTGCGAGAAATTTTACCCTTAAAGAATATACAGGCAGACTGAAGACGCGACAGCGGAAATGAAATGCGCAAAAGGCAGTGTTTATTGCATAAGTTTGTGCGGTGATCTCAACCTGATTTGTTTGCGGTTTGTTTCTTTGTTTTTCCTGCATACAAGCAATGTTTAGTATTCCTCATCTTATACAAAAGTTGCAATGTCAAGTTTTTCTTATCTAACACGCCAGTATTAGAGTGGAAGTTTTACTATTTATGCAATTTTCCAAGTGATTACCTAGAACTTTGACATATGTGGACGACACGATCATTCCATGTAGATTCTCCGCCACACATTGATAAATTCCAGTTTCATTTGGGTGCCTCACATTCTTGAAAACCAGCTTGTTGCCACTTAATGTTACCTGTACACTGTGAAATACGACATTTTACTGTATAAACACCAATAGAATACCAGGTGAGCTTTCGTGCAAAAACATGATATCTTCACATGTGAAAATAACAAGTAATAGATCGCGCCTTTCACAGCAAAAAGCTATTAAAGTGAAAAAGGTTGGTATTTCATTGGTGTTTATAGCCGCTTGGAGATACGAAATTTCTCTTCTTCGCTGAAAAATATTTCACTTGTTCGCTGCGCTCACTCGCGAAATAATTCAACACTCGAAGGAAATTTCTTATCTCCGCCGGATGTAATATCCTCTATTTCCATGATAAGAAACATACTGAAACTGTGCCTGCGACTAGCAACAAAAAAGAGGCAAGGGAGGGGAGGTTTATGTGGAACACTGTCAAGTTTAGCCTGCGAAAACAGCCGTTTCTCATTGCTCTTGGCCGCTGGGAACGTTTCGCGTGGAAGAACGTCTGTGACTCAACGACGAAAATTCCATACTGATGACGTAAATCAATGTTTACATAATATATCCGGTAGTCATGGGTTTCCACATCCAAATTTGTTCAATTTTACGTTTCCTCCTGGTCGATTTCACTAAAGTGTTGTGTTCATCTGCGAATGAACTCCAGCAAAGCTCAAATGCTTCTTCTAGAGAAGAATATGCTCCACCAATTTTGACTGTTTTGTTTCGAGATTCATCGCGTTTACATTTGACCTTCGTGGCCTTTTGTCTTTTGCCTGTCATTCGTAAACAATTTTACGTCATCAGTATGGAATTTCTGTCGCTGAGTCGCAGAAATTATTCCTTGCGAAACGTCCTCAGCGACGAAAGCGAGGAGAAACGGCTGTTTTCGCAGGCTATGTCAAGTGTAAATTGATTTTTCCGATGAGTGCAAATCTGCTTGTCATCATGCCTCCAGGGACTTTTTAGCTTCTTTCTTGGGATTGCTACCAACTTGGACAACAAAAACAACAACAGTAGTAGAACCTTTCCCACTTTTGTCCGTTGACATCTAAATAATTTGCTTTCACCTTGCACTTCATATCTTCTTCAGCTTTTTGGTGCAGGAGAAAATATTTTTTATTCATGCCTAGCACAATGTATTATTATTTTACCTCTTTATATTCAAGTTATGAACGTCATAAAGACAACTTCCAAATGCACAGCTGAATGCAACTTAGACTGAATTATAACTTTCCAGTGCAAAACGTTAAGCTCATCTAGGATGTGTAGAGTATTAAATTACATGATATTCTTATGCATTCAAATGATTCTTGAGAGCACTAAATTTTTCCGGACACTACAAATGAAATCTAGAAAAAATCAAAAGTTAGCAGTTATAACAATGTGTGAGAATAAAAACATGGTGTGGCCTTTACATTTACCAATTCACAAAGTGTGTTCTAAGAGAAACAATTGTTACAAAACTTACGTTGATGTTGTGAGTTGTTTTCCATTCTTGTACCACTTCAAAGATGGCGAAGGGTCTGCAAATACATCGCATGTTAAGCTGCCATTGTCATTAACATCAATTTCAACTTGTTGCGGAGGAGATGCTGCAAACCTTGGAGGAACTGCAAAGAGAATTAATAAAATAATCAGTTGTATTGTACAGTAGAAACCCGGTAACTCGATCGAACTCTGAAGGGACACGAAAAACAGTTCGAGTTAGCGGGGTTTGAGTTATCGGGGTCGATTGAATCTTCAATTTGCCATGTTTAAAGCAGAAAAAAAAACTACAACAAAATGCATCTTTAAAGAACAGCAACAGAAATAACACGAACAGGGTATTCTACCAAAAAAAGAATCTTCAAGTCGATCGATCGTTCTTTGCGTCTTACGGGACGCATGCCATGAATTATTTTGTGTCTTTGGGGATGTTTATGCATCAGGGACACAGGACGCAGAGGTAACAAAATCACTGCTGTTATTTAAGGTACCAATATGCTCTTTGCATGACTTGATCACGTGACCAACTTTCGGTAGACACGAAAACAGTTCAAGTTGAAAAATTATGTTAGCACAAGCTGCAAGAGCATATTAAAATTAGGTAACCTGAGATTTTTCGGCCGTATATCTCAAAAGTAGCGATTGCAACGGCCGCCGAAAGTTAGAAGCATTTGTATGAGAAAAACAACTTTTGCGACCCAGTCACGCTTGCATGGTTTTCCATACAAATCCTTATAAATTCTAAAATTTTTAAACTCTCGTTGAATCTTTCCTTTACGCATTTAAGGGCTCAAATTGCCTTTACGAATTAAAAGGAGGTTTGGGCCCCGTTAATGCTTAAGGATTTTATGACAGTTTTGAAAATTTCGAAATTACAAGGATTTGTATGGATGGCAAAAGTTGTTTTCCTCATACAAATGCTTCCAACTTTCGGTGGCCGTTGCAATCGCTACTTTTGAGATATACCGCTGAAAATTCTCAGGTTACCTATTTTTTAATATGCTCTTTCAGCTTTTGCTAACAAAATCTTCAAAAGTGAACTGTTTTCGTGTTTACCGAAAGTTGATCACGTGATCAAGTCATGCAAAGAACCTATTACGACATCCCTACAGTGTATTATTAAGATCAGTCCTTACAGATACCCACCCACCCCAGGAAAGGGTTGCCACACCACTGGGGTCTATGTCCCTTAGTCTTTTGGAACAGTGATGTGGGTTCTGGTTTTACGTCGCACTAATGGAAGAACCAGATAAGTGAAAGTGTTTTGTGAAGGAACATACCGTTTTTCATCCGTTTCCAAGAAGACTAGAAAAAATAACCGTTTGCAGAGGTTATTAAAAAGGCAGCACTTTCTTCTCAGTTATTTAAAGACCCCGAGTGTTGGTCCAGCCGAGAGTTTGAACGCATGACCTATCACTCGGCAGACTAGCAAACGACTCTCCCAGCTAAGCTAACCAGGCGGTGATTTAGTGTGACAGTAAGATTGAAGTGCTTAAGGTGGCTGAACCCAAGTTTTGGCAGTTTGTATGTCATTTGCCAAATCAATGGAAGAGAAAGGTTGCACTCACAAGCTCAAACTTGGCAACTGAAAAATATACTGATGAAAGATTTTGATTGACAGGTAAAATGTGACGTTTTTGTAGTTTTCATGGCAACATGAACGATTGAATACAACCTTACAATTTCACTTTTTTCAGTTTACATAAAATTCGCTCATTAGATTTTCCTATAAACTTGCACACAGCTTACTATAATTAATCATTACCATTTGAAACTTATTTGACCAAATTTTAACAGACGGGTTTTTAGATGATCAATAATATAATTGTACTGTAATTATTAAATGTGTCACAAAATTCGTCGGTTCAACTTCCATTTCAAATTTCTCATTATTTAAAATATGATAAAAGTAAAAATTCTGCCAAATATCACAAAATTTTAATGAGTAGATTTTGAGAAATTGTCTTCTGTGTACCATTGCCTTTTTCGCCGCCATGTTGGTTTCTCTAATTTAAACCGCCCTTAAAACTGTGTTCAGCCACCTTAATTTGATCATTAAAGGGATCAGTGCATGAGATTGAGACGGCACTAACGCCACTTACCTTCAACATTCAGCTGTATATCATGGACCAAGGGGTTTCCACCACTTTGAGAATTCTCAGCTTCACAACGGTACCTGGTCTCATGCATGTTCTGTTTAACGGATATAATGTTAAGCAGTCTTCCTTGGAAAGCAGTATCAATCTCAAAACTATCTTGTCCATGTACAAGGTTTTGCCAGTTTCCACGTTTGTCCTGCATTTTCCAAGTTATCGTTGGCACAGGTCTGTAAGTAACAAGATAACGCGCAACAGCTTTGAACTATCAGATGTCAACTGCATTTAGTTATATCAATCACTAAATTGCAAGGATTCGTGTGGCTATGCAATGTTTTAGTGTGTTACAGTCAGGTGTGTGTTCAAGGACTTTCAAGAACTATCAAGGTGCATGCAAACTCCTACAGCCACGTTCTCCGTTAATACGGACAATGAGGAGGCCACGGAAAATGTCCATATTAAGCGGGTTGAATTTAAATAAAATGCAAGGGCTTTCTTTGGATCCCCAGGGACAAAGCAAACTGTCTGTAATAACTAATGAGGCATCCGTATTAAGTGGGTGTCTGTATAGCGCGGTTTGACTGTACTATTATTTTTTTTTTCTAATTTAAAAGCAATACAAAATTTATCAATTCTGGTAACAAATTGTGAGTTCTCTCATGCAATAATGTTCTTAACAGCTACAATGTAGCCGTTTAAACAGTACGGAGCAATATAAGAGAGTCAGCTTTACAGCTTGCCCATTAACAAGCATGTACAGTACTTATTTAAAGCCCGAGAGTCAATTTAACATTAGCCCCCCAAACTTTTGACGAGCAGGATCAATAATTAATTAACATTACAATTTTATTGATTATAATTTACACCATTACATGCAAGACAGTTAGTGTAATAATTTCACTATGCCAGACCAGCTTGAAAGCAACTCTCGATCCACGTGAATATATCAGGAAATTAAAACACTTGTCTTAAAATACTTCTGTGATTTGACTTCCTGCAGAATACTTCACTTGCCTGTCCGACACGTAAAGAACAGAATGTACTAGCCCAATCACACAGTCTACTTGTTTCCGGGCTATTGGACAAATTACAATTATTGGACGAGGTTGAGCAAAATATCGTGATTTGTCAGTGGCGAGCAGATTATTATTTGCCGAAGCCGAAGGCTGAGGCAAATAATTGATGTACGAGACACTGGCAAATCGCGATATTTTTGCGATAACCGAGTTTAATAAGTGTTTTGTCATTCGATCACCACGTTTGTTTTTAACGACCATTTTCGGGAAGCGAAGCGATCTGCCTTTTTTTTTCACGCAAGAACGATCGCAAGAAGGAGAAAAGCAAAGGTTTCGTTTACGCATTCGAAGAATATTATTTGCAGCCAAACACAGTTGCGCGACATTGCGACATGAGCAGACCATTATTTTTAGGCAGTTATTTGCAGGTCACGTGGTGGGCTTTCGACCAATGAAAAGGAAGAAAAATTTGCATCAAATGATAATTGGCTTTCTTGGCACAGAGAACAGCCAATCACAAAGCAAATCAGTGCATCAGAAGCAGGTAGACAGGACATTAGAAATGGATAGAATGTGCCATGAACCGTTTAATAGCTGAGGTAAATGTTTGTATGTAGTTTAAGGTGAACAACTTACCAGATACCCAATTTTAATGAATGGGTGTAAGAAGCAGTTGGCTGTTAGGGACGCTTTTGCATTGACAGCCTACAGTTCTAACCCCAAAAAGTTGGATGCCTAAATTTTCTGAAAACAAACCCATCCAGTGCTACTGCCATTGATATTGGCTTAAATGAACAGAATTCATTCTGAAAATTGTCCATCCTAACTATTTATTTATATATGTAGAATGTATGTATATACATGTATTTCCTTATCTTATTACTATTTATTTTGTTTTGCCTAATTTGTAAATGTACCCATGCAGGCACTCACCTTCCAACTGCAAGGCAATACAAAGTTTTATTTCTTCCCTCCACAGCCGTTTCTGTGGCAGCAGGTATAAGCCTCCATGCAGGCGCTCTTGGTGTCCCTGGATCTGTTTGACCTAAGACAAAATACACAACACTCTGTAAAACATTCACCCTTGCTTTATGCTATAGCCTACCAGTAAAGATACATCTTATGTAACATCTCCCCTCCCTTTTTTCATTAAGACTTGTTCATCAGCAAAAAATGGCATAAGTTATAATAATATAAAGAACCTCCATCTTTCCAAGTTAGCCTCAAACATTCTGTATTGAATAGTTTTGATTTTAATTTTTGGTGGCATGAAAGTGAAAACAGAGAATAGCATAATCAATTTATTATATGGACACCAGGTCAAAAGGACACTCCCAAAATGTTACATTTAATATAAATACACGTATTTAATGGGATGGAAGTTCCTCCTTCAATCACTGAGATTTCGTTCTGTGTTAAAAAAAACCAAAGAATTTACCTGCAATTTTCTTCTTTAACTTAAAAATACCAGAACTTTCAAATCTGTTTGCTCCAGTCATAAAACATCTGATTCCTTGGCTGTCATACTCTGCAAAATCGTCAATGTCTTGCTGGGTAACATACATGATTAATAGTTGCCCTGTCTGTGATATGGCTCGTCGATCATTTCTCTTGAACTGTATGTCCACAGTATTGATTTTTCCCTGCCATGAGTACCTGACACCATAACTGGCAGAGTGCTGTGGACAATCAATACTAATCTCTTGCCCAAGATCTACAGACTCCTCCCGGACAATTTGATTGGTGAATGACCCTACAACTGTACAAGGAAACAAGAATAATATTATAAACTAGTAATAACCAAAGGTTACGGAGTGCAGAGACAACGGCTGAAGCTCAAAACACTCTTGCTCCAGTGCTGCGCTTCCCGTAAGTTTCACGTGATAGATGGTCAAAACAAGCTTGATCAGATTATGAGTGATAGAAGGTCCAAACGTGTGATCAAATTGTGTTCTGTGCATTCAATTCATTCTAAGTAGAAGTCCAGACAAATGCTGTCTACATACATGTGACGCATGCATAATAACAACCTAGATATTATGATTGCGGGCTCCTCTTGTCACCCCCAACTAGTCAGGGTTGCACTTACATGTAGTAGCATTAAGCACATTTGTGATTGAACCCTGGATTTCACAGGTTCAGAGCACCTGGCTCCTTTCAGGTTTTCTTAGAGCACAGCCATGAGTTTTTGATTCTTGCGACGTAGAGGACTTCGCTTAGGGTTATAATAAAGCTAGGACTCTTCACTTTTTACTTGCCTTTTGCAGGGCTAAAAAATGTCAAATCTGGTAGTCCGCCGGGGAAAAGAGATATTCTTGCTGGGCAAGTAACTTTCAAAGCTGACTTAACTGAAGGTTTCAGCCAAGTCATCCTCTAACAAAATCATAATTACACTTTAGACAAACAAGAAATGGCCTTGGACAAGCCAAATGTGAGGGCTGCTTGCCCAAAGGACAAGCTGGAATTCATTGTCTTTTTTTTTCAAGCTCTGCATCAAAAGCACAGCCTTAGGCTTTATTGTTTTGTTTTTTTTGTTGTTGTTTAGATCTGTTGAACTGCTTATGCTAATGATACGGTAATGACTCCTTACCCGTAACAGCAACCTGTATCTTCCTGCTGAATGTCTCGATTCCAGTAACATTGTCCCTGACAAAACACTGGTAATTTCCACTCTGTGCACTCTCAAGGTAACTTCCGTATAAGGTTCCATCAACACCAATGGCGAACTTACCACCCGTCGTAATTGCTGTGCCATTGTGCTTCCAGGTCCATTGCAAGTTATTCCCAACAGCATCACATGGTAATTTCAAGGCATTTTGTCTACTAAACTTAACATCCTCGGGAGCAAGTAAATCCTTGGTTGGAAAGTGAACAATTCTTGGCGGGTCTGCCACCTGTTGACCTGCAATTTAGACAACGAGAATGCAGTTATCTGTGACTTTTACGCCCATTTGTAGGCCCAGCAACATGTACCCATAAGGAGGCGTATGTTACCAAGGGATTAACAGACCTTGAACTCTTGATCTGGAGGTCTGGGTTTCAAGCCTTGCCCATCGAGTTTCTTGCTGTAGCTGGTGCTGTTTCCGTCGCGTTACCCAAGAAATTTTCTGCATAACATGTGTATGGCTACAATTTGCTCCATAATATGTGTATGGTCCCTCGTCTCGATTCTTGACAACATTCTCAATTATCAATGCACTGAATTCCCTATGCTCTATTCTGTAGGGTGGTGATGATGTCAGTAGAGTGGTTCCTTTATACCATTTATATTGGTCTTTACTTGGCCGTGGAGCTGCTTTGGTTAAGTATTCCTAATCTTATACGAAAGTTCAGTACCCAAAAGGACACACACTAGACTCCCGCTAGAGCCCGCTTAATGGAGGTGCCCACTAAATACAAGATTGTTCTACGAAAAATATAGGAAGCATAGACTATAATACATAGGCTAGCTGAAGCATGGAATTTACCGTCAAGCCCGTATCTCACGAGTGAACGCATATCGATTTGAATGCAAGTGGTTAAATTCCAAGAATTTATATCTATTATGCAAACTATAAATATGATGTCTATCAAAAATAATTATTAAAAAAGTCGTTGTTCGCCCCCTCCCCCTTTTTCTTAGTAACTTCATAAACCCGAGCAAGCATGCAATGGATGTAAGGCGACGACTATGGACTTCAACGGCAGGTGTCTTCATTGTAACACAAGTAGTTCACTGATTGCCTGATATTAACACAGGTAAAATTATGGTATTTTGACGTGCGATTGGTGGCAGTTTTTCTTAGTGGCAGAAATCCCTCTTAAAGCTGTAGTTCATATAACAAAAGATAATATATATATATATATATATATATATATATATATATATATATATATATATATATATATATATATATATATATATATATATATATATATATATATATATATTTTTTCGCAAGATCACGGGTGATGCTTTCTTCAATAGGGGAAAAATACACAATAATGTCAATATTGGGTACAACAAACTAACTCTGAAGATTCTCTGAGAAAACTGGGTTTGAGGGGAAATGTATTGTTGCTACATGCTAACTCATATAACGTGACAATCACTTTCTTATCATTTTAACCATAGATAAAATCTCGTTAACACAAGGATTGTATGCGCTGGTTGAATGAGAGGTGGGAAGGGGATGTATTTGTTTTGATTCGATGACATCGTCGTATTGTGCAAACAGGTTTCGTACAAATTTTTGGATCCAAAATTCAAGACTTTTTCCAAAACAACAAATACCAAAAATGTACACGATGCTTGTCATTAACGGTATTGAAACCCAAAACCAACGGGCGCTGCTAGAGCACAGCCCTACAAAGGGCAACCATGTCCTGCCATTTGTTCGTCACTGTCAAAATCTGGTCATTTCTGACAACTGTAATACCATAAATTTCGCACCCTGTTGTAGTACGTTGGCAGGTTTCACAAAACATTACATCTTCAGTAAATTCATGACTTGCATAATTACCGTTTGTCAGTGTTGTAAGACATATGACTGAAAGACAGAGAATAATCTTCCACATTCTGAGGAATCAAATACTCCTGCAACAAACACAAACAAACAAAAACAATGTTTCATTCATCATGGCGGAGCCTCCATTGCTATAGAAAATGGTAACCTATCGATGCAAGAAAATTTGGTTATGACGTCAGCGTACTCCCGCCCGTACGCCCCTACGGATTGGCAGGGAGGGGCTAAAGCAGACTCTACAAGGGAGGGCAAGGAGAGTCTAAGACATTCAGCTTGCGTTTGTCTTGGCGAAACGTTAAGCAGTTTACCTAAAGGCAGCCAATGGAGTTTTTCCAGTAAAGATCTTGAATCTCTAGATTGTTTGCCTTACGACAAAGACCTTTGAAAAACATTGTTTTTAGGTTGGTCACGCTTTTAATTTGGTCACGCTCTAGGACCAATCTAGTATCAGACTGGACAAAGTTTTGACAGGTGAACTCGTGCGTAAAAACTTCTGCTGTATCGCCAAGTTTGTTTACCGACAACTGACTGAAACCTCGTGTACTTTTAAGTTTTAAACCTTTTGTGTTCTTTCAATGCTGTCACAACATGAAATACAGCCTCTTTCAAGATTCTTTTGTTGTTGAAAGTTGGTTTGCTGTTGCTGTTGTTGAGGAAACTCGGTCATGTCTTCCTGCGATCGGATATGATTACTGGACAGATAAAAGACCAAGAGCAAGCAGTTTGTAGCTAAAGATTTAAATGGCAATTACAGAGATGAAATAAAGTAATCATAAAGTATACCCCAAAACTTTTCTGGTTTGTCCGACTAAAACGATTTTGACCGGGTCAAAAAGGAAAAAAACAAATGCAGGCCTCCTCTGTTATTTATACAATCAATCCTGTTTAATCTTTATTAAGCAGCCACGCTATGGAATGGGATAAGTGGCTAATTAAGAAGAGGTCACTTAAGTCAAATGTAACGAAGATCATCGCAGTTTTATTAAGCCAACAGTATTCAAAGTAGGGCTGTACTAGACTCATACGCTTTTCATTTAATTTATCTGTACCCTTAAGCACTTACATGAAGAGGCGTGCCCTTTAATTAAGCTATAAAGCGCGGGATTAACAGGAATTACGTTTTTTCCGGGGTGTTTTCTCGCTGGTTCTCTATATACAGTGGAATCCCGATTTCTCGAACCCTCGGATTCCCGAACCTCTCGATCTCTCAAACCAAACCTTGTTTCCCTTGGATTTGCTTCACTCAAGATCTATAATTTCACCACCGATTTCTCGAACCCTCGATTTCTCGAAACTCCTGATAACTCGAACCAATTTTGGCTCCCGTGGGACAAATTGACCCTCGATAACTCGAACCTGCGACGTCAATTACATTCACGCCGTTAAACGAATTGACACTTCCGGATAAGCTGTTTTATCGCATTTTCATCACACAACAAGCCACAAATCCGTCTGTCATCAGTCTGAAAGGTACAATGACTGTATTCTGTTATATTTCGTTTTTGTTTTTTAAGACCCTGTTTACATGGAGTGGGGGACCCCGGTCTAGTGGGGTAGGTTGCTTTTTGTTTTGTGTCCCTCAGAGCGTGAAAACAAAAGAAACCAACCCCACTAGACCGGGGTCCCCACTCCATGTAAACAGGGTCTAAGTACAGTACGTTTTGTTTGTGAACAAAGGTCAAGATCTACATTAAAAAGGATGTATTTTTGTTAAAATTTGAACACTTACTCATAATCACACAACACCCGGCCAATTAAGCGTAATTTGATGCCACTTTCGATTTCTCGAACTCCCGATTTCTCGAACCAATTTGCGTTTCCCCTGGAGGTTCGAGAAATCGGGATTCCTCTGTATTAGCAGTTCCCAGGCCCCACTGTTTCTTTTTCTGCACGCTTTTATAGATTCACAGAGACGCTTAGGAAGCCAAAGACACGTGCTAGCTCGTGATATAGGATTATTATTTATTCACCGTTCCGGTTCCGCAGAATTGGGAAACATAACCTCGAAGAGAGAAAACTAGAGAAAGTGGATAAGATACTTTGTTATTTCCTGTTGCTCCATTTTTCCGTTTTCTTAGGCTTCCGATGGCTTTTTCTCCGTTACTGTCTTTCTCTTGTATTAATAATTAAAGGTGCAATTGAAGGAAGGAACATGTCACCCCTGAAATTCTACTCCTGTACCTTTAAAGAACATATCACTTCTGTACTTCGTTACTTGCACTGGCTTCCGATTCACAAACGGATGTTTCAAAATACTTTGATGACATTTAAGGCGTTAAACGGGCAGTCTCCTGTTTTCTCCGAACTAATTTGGCGTTACCAGCCAACTAGAACTTTAAGGTCTTCTAGTTGTAGTTACTTTTCGGTTACCAACTGTTCTACCAATGCAAATCATGTGGGGATAGATCTTTTACTGTTGCCTCTGCCAAGTTATGGAACTCGTTAAGTCCAAACTAATAAAAACTACCTTTTCAATTTGTGATTTCCCTTTTCCTTTGTATTCATGCAGTGTACACATATCTCACTATTATTCCTGCAACTGCCTATTATTAGTTTTATAGTATCCAAATCATATACTGATCACAGCAGTATTTAGCAGTGCTACATTTTTATTAAGTTTTCTCCATATTGTTGGTTTTCACACGACGTCACTAAAATTCAACCTAAAAAACTATCCATCCTACCGAGATTTTATTTTCACGATGCATCAGAGCAGCTGAAAACTAAGCTTTCGCGTGACGCGGCGTTTACATGGCGGCCAAGAGAGCTGTCATGTAGATAAAAAAAATGACTTATTTCAGGAAATTTTGCTATCTAAACAGTTCATGTGTTAGAAAAAGTATTACCTTAATGTTTATGAGTTTTTCCAAGAATAAATTCACGCTTTTGTAGCAAACTCGGTACCAAATGTTTCTGTTGGTTTCCGTCCGCCATGTTGGAGCTCATCCAGGTGAGCACCAGCATGGCGTCTCCATACAAATCTCTATAAGTTTGGGTAAAACATTTCTTCGAATATCCCTCTGACCTGAATCTTCGCGAGGGTCTTTGTATATGTACCTCCTTTCATTTCACAGATTCTGAACTTTATCTAATGAACGGTTTTGATTTTTACTTTGATCCATTTTGAATGGCGTGACCTGGCACTGAAAACCAGCCATAGAATTCCTATGTACTAAAAATTGTTTTTTCTGTTTTGATATATATACCTTTATTAATTTATGTAGGTATTTTAATATTTTTCTTAATGTTACTTTAAAAGCATTGAGACTTTTTTAATAATGCTCTAAATATATTATTATTATTATTATCAATTATCATCTTGCTTAATACTTTCTTCACACATGACAAAGCGGTTTTTGATCTTTTCTTCTGCTATTTCGTACGAAAGGAGGGTTACGCAAAAGCAGAGCCAGTCGAGTAAGACAAGAAACATCTGACCGAAAAACTATCACCGACTATCTATCCAACGGTGCCAAAGAAGAAAGAAAACTCTCATGGACTATCATGAAAAATCTGAAAATGTTGAAAGCGCGTTACAGTTGACAGTAGATGACAGTTGATCAAAAACTAGGTCCCTTACGGTCGCGGTAGTTGAAACTAACTTCGAGCATGCAGTAAAACCCTGCGAGTATAAGAACCTGGTTTTTAAGAACCCGTTAGGCCAGCCCCTCCAATACAAGAACCTGTTTAGCCTAAAATTTGACCCAAATTATAATCTATACAAAAAAAAATCTTTGCGCTTGGGCAAATAAGTCAACATTCAGGATCCTCTTTGGGGACATAGGTGCCTTATCACTCCAGCTGCAATGTAATGGTATGCAAATTTTACATAATGCATACATGTAAGTTGAATACCACCTGAAATACTCTTCGCTACAATATATATTTTTTCTTCAGTAAATAAGAACCTATTTAAGAACCTAATTTGCCTAAATTTGTGCTAATTATCATTTATGTAAAAAACCTGTTTAGGCTAACTTGGGAATATGCAGGTTCTTACTCGCGAGTTCTTGTTGTATCAATTTTCATGACTGTTTGGCCCTAAAAATGGTTCAAATGGCGCTATAAATCTGTACAAATATCAGTTCAATCAACAGAAACTTGGACTCTCGACATCTCTTACCTTGACAGAGACACTTGGGAATAACTTAGAACAAAAAAAGGTAAGTTCCAAAACACGTTCAAATGGATTGCACTATTATCACCAAGATCAGTTAACAAGTAGCTGTTGAAATGCCTGCATGCAATGCATATAGATTTGGGCAGGAAGGTAACCTTGGATGACGGAAGCGCGTCATATCTGACATTCATTTTAATCTTTTTTTTTTTTTTAGTATGATCACGTCGTCGACCGCACACGAAAAATCATATCCTACTTGAAGAAGAAAGGGTATTTATGACTTCCTCTGTGTTAATGCTAATGCATAACGAAATATCTACGTAATATCTGCTGTTTATTTACTCTCGCCTCTGACGCACATCATTATATATAACTCTAGATTTTCTCAGGCTGGCACTTTCGTCATACAATTGCAAAATTCGAGAACACAGCAGAGGATTAAGTCGTTTTCTTGCTCTGGTACTAAGGCGTGGAATTGTATTCTGCGAATTGTAGTGTGCGATAAAGCATCCCGTGATATCTCCCGTTTATTTACTCTCGCCTCTGACGCACATCATTATAACACTAGATTTTCTCAAGCTGCCATGTACACTTTCGTCATACAATTGCAAAATTCGAGAACACAGCAGAGGATTAAGTCGTTTTCTAGTTCTGGTGCTAAGGCATGGAATTGTATTCCTCTTAATATTCGTTCATTATCAAAACATACTAATTTATGGCGGCAATTCATCGACAACTTTTAGGTATTCTATTGTTTGAGGATGATTATGTTGACACGCTTACCTCTAGATTTAAACAGCTTTGAACTCTGCGATATTTTCTCATTTCGTTTAATATAAAATAATATTTTTTTTCTTGCGTTTTTTTTCCTTTTCCAGCCTTCTGTTAACTTTAGTATCGGCTATATGTAAATAATATAAATTAATATTTTATCTGGGCCTGACCCGCCTCGTTTAGTGTTGCAGCTACTTTGCTGGTCCGCACCATAATCTATTGTACAAATATGTATGTGAAGTAAATAAAGGTTGTTTGCCTCATAATGTCACGTAATAGAGAAAAAAATCTGAGCTGTTTCATGTTCCTTTGAGCATCTGTATATACAAAATCACAATTTCGTGTGGCAAAATCCTTCCCTATATTCCTGGGTAATTTTTCATAACGGGACGCTCTCCGTAATTAAACACTAACATCACTAGGAAAATGCATAAATTAACCTCTAGAATATTGTTCATGTTTTTTCAGACAAATTTTGTTGGTTTAGTCAGTTTCTCAAGAGCACTCAGGACTGAGATGTGGAGGCCTTTCATCGAGTTTCCGTTTTCATGCCAGGAAATGACGAGAAACCCACAAAAATTTCATTTCATGCAGTTAGTCACGTTTATACTACTACATGATAAATTTCTGCAATATGATTGGCTTAGAGCAGTGGTATTTCAGCTTAATTTGAAATACCTACATGTGGAAATTACAAACCTTTTGTGGGTAGTAGTATAAACAAATAATAGAGACCTTTAGCATCAAGTAAACCGCGAACCGCAGACGGCAAA